TCTTATATATTATTTATTTTTTTTTATTTATTCATTTAAGATAAGCATTTGTGTTAACATGGATCCATTCTGTTAGTTTGAATATACAGTTTAACAACACTTATTTAAAATTTCTGTTAAGGCTAAAAATCACCCGCAGCCTATCGACATATGTATATCGTGCAACCGCCACAGTCATAAGTGGTACATGGTTGTATTTATTTAACTATCAATCTTGTTTTAACATTCGCCTGCAAAAACAAATGCAAAGCAACAACACGACTACGGGATAGAAGTGCGATATGAAGCAATTGGCCAAAGATGGAAAATGCATAAAAAGCGTAAAATGAAGTCAACCTAATGTCGTCTAATGCAATGTGCGCATAAGTATAAACGCAGCGGGCAGAGAAAGCACAATTATCGCAGTCCCAAATTTGCTCGTGTGTGTATGCGCGTGTGTGTGTATGTGCTTACGTGCGTGTGTGTATGTGTCTATTAGTCAAACTTAGTTTCATCCGTTTTGGCACGTTTGGCTGAAAATTTTTAATTCTGCTGATTTATATTTTGATTCAAATCGGGCATATTTTAAATTAATGTAGTAAATTTCGGACACACCACAAAATTAGCTAAATTTGCTGACCACGCACACCTGCGACAAAAACGTTGGGCAATGTATGCGTTAGCAGAATTTTATCACTGCGCCGTATTTGTTTCATTTATAGCTTCTTTGTTTGCATTAATAGAAAATTAAGACCGAAAGTGACGCAAAATCCAAACGCCAAGTGTAAGTGGAAGGCTTTCGCCTCGCGCTAAAAGCAACAACAACACCAACAGCCACAACATCGAGAATAATCATTGCAATAACAACAACGAATCAGCTGTCAAACCGCTTCAAGGTGAGTTTGTTTGTAAATTAACTTGTTTTTAGATTGTTTATATGTATATATATATATATACATAGATATAGGCTCAGATTTAAGGCACATGGATAAAGAAAAAAATATATAAATTGATTTTGACAGTTAACATCGATAAAGGGTTCTGCTCCTGTATGAAATATCGACATATATTTGCTTACGTTTTGGTATATTTTCTTAAGGAGAGTGTACATGAAATAAGAATAAATCATATTATGTAAACGCTTTTATATTCGTGGGGAATTTATTATGTACACATGTCTATTGGGACGGTAAAAATTGATCGTTTTTGTTTCTGGGCAGTCTACGCCTATGATATCTTATCTCCAAGTGGACGGCAATGTGTGTGCCTAATATTTTACATTCACATGCAAACAATTTAGTTAGGCATATCAGTTTGAGAGTTTATTGTTTATGTATGTATGTTTGCCCAATTGCAAGTAAATAAATTTGTATTCATTGTTTCCATTGTAACAATCCTATTGATCCATTGTGATCAGCCGGCAACTGCTAGCAGTGCAATAAACTTTGGTTGTGCTTTGATTTTTATCACTTTGCCATTTATCGTTTTGTTTTAATCACATTAGGGCAAAACGTTGCACGCGTCGCATGACGAAAGCAGCCCGACAACAACAACAAATACTTAAAACAAAAACAAATACGGCCCAGCACTGACCTACAAAAAGTGCAATGCGCCCCATCACTAGCAAATGTGCCGTTGCGCAGGGGTGGGTTTTAAGTTGGGTTAGGCGCGAAAAAACTTGCACAAAAGTAAATACGCTCACACATAGACGCGCATGTAACATACATGTGTATATATGTGTGTAAGTATGCATGAAAGTACGTTAAGTATTATGGCAAAGAGCGTTGAACCGAATAAACAGCAAGAAACAACAGTGAATACAACTCACAAATCAAATGAATCCCTCTAACAACAATAACAATTAACAGGTTAACTATAATATGCAAGGGAATATACATACATACATATGTACATAAGTATGTATGCAGGTGTAAGAATGCTTCTCTTGAGTAAGAATTTCCCCTCTTCCATGGAGTTTTATTTATTTATATTTTAAAGTTATACAGATATTTACATATACATATATAAAAAACTGCAGTCATAGACGAGTTCAATGTCATTTAGTAGAGCAACTCATGGTGGGAGGTCTTTTGCGGCACACGCAACACTTGATGCAAGGACCGTAAACGTTTTTCTATTGTTAGTCCATCAACACACACATACACGTAAGCATAGAAAAGCACTCACAGGCTCACCCACACAGACTCACGCTCGCATTAAGCATGTTGTGTGTGCGAGTGAGACAGCATGCTTGCGCTTATAACAATTGATTGTCCTGTCTTATTTGCATTGCAACCTTGCCGGCGGCCATTCGCCAAGTGTTGTAAAAGACGAAAACAAAAAATACGTTAAGTTTCATTGGCACGTCCGTTCGCATCGCCTAGGTTAGTTATAAACACGGTAAATAATGCACTTCCTTATGCGATCTGCTCTGAATCATAGTTAAGTAAAATGCCTGCACCTTAGGTGCATAAATTAACTGCTAAAGCGATGTATATAGAAGTGGACATACCCTAGAATGATGCTGATAAAATGTAGATTTTGATTTCTATTGTATTTTATATGTGAAACATGATTTTGATTATCGAAATTCTTAGCCTCTCACATACTATCGAGGTTATAAAATCAAAAATAAAATAAAATAAGTAAACAAACAGTTTGGTGCCTTTCGCTTCCTACATGCGAGTGGAGGCTGTATTATGACTCATTGTATCAATTGTTTACATCATGGATGTTGTTGTCATTGTCATTGTTGTTGTTGTTGTGATACTCGCTAAACCCAACCCCAGCCAGAGTTAACTCAACACCGTTGTTGTCATTGGGCTCATGTCAACGCTGCAGTTTTTATTATTTATTTATTAATTTTTTTTTTTGCATTAGTTATTTAAGTAGTATTATTGTGCGACGGTGTTGGAAACCGCACATTAATAAAACCAACAATGAGCCCCATTTATTGTCATTGTTGTTGTTCTTGTTGTAACTGAATAGAGTAGAGCATAATGTATTCTGATATGTGATATGATAGCTTACAATTACTTAATGAGTAGAAATGAAAATGAGAGCAGATGAACTTTAAATACCCTAAAAGTGTAAAGAAAGTGAGATCAATTGGTATATAAGATGAAATAAAATTTAACGTATGATTCCATATACATTTTTAATATACTTATATCCCTCTTTGAAATTGAGTTGATAGAAGATTTATATTTATCTGAAATATTATCAAAA